AAAATAATCATAGGTCCGATTAAAAGTCTATTTTCTGTCTAGGTCTGCTGCAAGATTGGCTTTGGGATCAGTTTTCCATAATTAGAATTATAACCAGAATACAGAACTCATTGCCTGGGAAGGGAATTGATTGATTGCGACACTTGTTGTGGGGGTTGTATGTGGGGTATAGTCGTAAATTAAACACCTCTCTGTATGGCTATAAATAATAACAGCAACGAAAAACGAAAAACAAAACACAAAAACAATAACAAATAAGCAAACGTAAACAGCGAACAACAAGCACAACTGGAGACACACACTATGCGGCTGATAAACCATACAAAATGTCGGGCAGAGACAACATGGAAATAGATCACGTTTCTGCATTTCTCATATGGTGCACCCTACACCAGCACCCACTAAGCACATTTCTTGGGAGTATAAGACTGGGGCAAGCGCTGTTCGTGGTAGCTTCTGTTGCAACTCCAGCCACAGGGAGTTTGCGCCACAAAATGTTGCAAAACTCATATGAAATGGATGATCTGATGATGATGATGATGATGGTTGTAGACCACTTACAGCTCGCATTTACGTTTGCAAACAGTTTTAGAAACTTATTCACCTGCGGGGCAGGTGCTTCAGCAGTCGACCATGGCAGAACTTTTGAATTGCCGTCAGCGTCAGCCCACAGTGTCCACAGGTTGTCCATACAGACAACAGAGTCCATTCATTCGGCGAGAAACTGTGTGTCATTTAGCAACTATTCAACCATTGCCATATACGATAATTACCTGCAACGTAAACAGAAAAATAGAGAATAGAAACAAATGCAATGCGATCTCGATATGAGACTGTACTGCGTACTTTTCGTTGTCTTCCGCTTCTCAATTGCGCTGCCCCTGGCATTGCATAAGCACCGATGGTATGCAATCCAATGTATCGGATCGGATCGGATCGGATGGGATCTACTGGATAATTCTATACATTTGTGTGTCTCAATTTGTTCCAACCGCCTGAAACTGGAAGCCGCCACACTGCGCATAGCATTCGGGGACCCTTGGCTTGTTTTGAGCGGCAGATAAGCGAGAGCCTCTAGCTCGGGTCAAGTGCCAAGGCAATCTTCTATATACTAAATACTATGCACAGTCCTCATCATTTACAGTGAGCTACAGCTTCAGCCACCAGTCTTCACACCTTGAGGTGCTGTGACAGCTCCAACCAAGCTTAGTTTGTATACCCTAGCAGCGGGTACCATTCAATAATTGTTTAAAAAGTTTTCTAATCACCGATTTGAGAACGGTTCCTTGTTATAGTAACTTTAATATGTATGTAAGTCTTTCTCTACGTTTGCATTTTTCTATTAAAATTTGAAAAAGTTCTAAAAATCCTTTGAAGCTGGAAGCGAATAAAACAACGGAGATAAAAATGCGATAGTTTGGTTGGAAAACCTGACAATATTCTGGTTACTTTTTGAAGATTAACAGACGTTAGCGTTATCTAAATTTGTATAGTTTTATTGAAATTTCTAAAGAGTTTTACAGACTGGTGGAAAATTTCACTAGAATTTGTATCAAGCTGTCTCCAAGAGTATCAAAAACATCGGCAACTATATTTTGTTCGTTTCTTATTTTTCTATTTTTCCACACTTATTTATGGATGGGGCCATATAGCGCCGGGCATAAATTCGACAATGGAATATTTGCAAATGTTTTTTGGCCAGATTGCAAAGGGTTGGTGGTCTGGGGGGGATAAAATCATGGGGTGGTCGTTGCCATGTCAAGTGCTTAGAGGAGTAATTAGAATTGTTGCCGAAACTCAACTTGATAAGCACCAAATATCGAACCGAAGTGCGCAATTGCACAAAACTGAAGTGGGACTATGAAGAGGGTCCATAGGGATACTACAGCTAGGAGGTTTTTTTAGGGAATTATCAAAACAATAAGAAAACAATTAAGAAACTCTTTCATTCAGAGGCCTACTCAGCTGATAAGAGTATTTTATTGCCTTTGAATGGCACCGTATACTATATGGTTAATCCATATTAATTGATAGAGTTTCGGTACCTTTGAATGGCGGTACCTTAAATCAGCTTCGACGGCTACACTGGTACTTGGTACTGGTACTTCTATGATTAAACCCATAATCGATTGGTTATTCTTAACCATTAGGAGGTGATTCATGCAGAGTTAGGTGAAGAATAATGAAGATTATATACTCTATTCGTGATTTCTAGAGGATTGTTAATGGAAATTATCCAATCTGACTGAATTTTCTGAAAACAAGTCTTAACGAGAGTCCAAACCATTAAACACTTTCACTTTTATTGCAACTACTTATTGGGTAAATATTTTAGCTTATTTCAGCAGAATTCGTTGAACAGAACGATCAAGCGGATTGATTGAGTCAATCCACCCCAATCAGTTTGATTTCAATATGAACTTGATAAATGAAAGCAAAAGTGAAGCGATAATACGAGTGCCTCTGCCTCTGCCTCAACCAAAACTTCACCTGTGGGGATCGATCATTGATAAGCCCGGACGTGGGGTTACGTACATAAATGTATGCATACATATTTACGTAGTAAAAATACATTTACTGCCCTTTAGCAATTAATTCATGTTTTTCGGTACGTTAGAATCTCTTTTTCCCCCTTTCTCCCTCTCCCAACATTTGTGTTGCGATTGATTGGTCTGAATAAAAAAAGAAACGCATTCATTCAAGTGGTTCCTCCTGTGGTGCCTCTTATCAAATGGACTTTGGGAACTTGGCCGAGTGGGCGGACATCGGTCCGGTCGGTGGGGGGCAGCGTTTTATTGCCTGAATGACATAAATCCATCGATCGATTGTGGAGAAGGAATTTGGCTATGCCCACGATAAGACTGCCGGGAAAAGTTCATCTGGAAGCGGACCCCACCAGTGCAGTAAGTTGGGAATGCGATCGGTTTGGATGGATGGTCAAAGAGAGCCCTGGGTAACCTTGAAACTCAATTTTGTATCCCCATTTGCTGTAATGATGGGCCCAGGGGGTGACCTGACCGAATCCCACAATCGATATCCATAACCGTTAATGAATGGAATGTCTGCGCAAAGGAAGGAGAGCCAGAGAGAGAGAGAGAGAGCATGAGGAAAACGCGACCAGAGCAATTTTCTTCTGATGGATAATCAATGGGAATTGTTTAAATATTTAAGCAATACATAACACAGCAGTAGTTCAAGCTTAAACACGCCCACCCACGCTCGGTCAGCTTTTGCGGGGGTGGTGCACAGAGAGACAGAGAGAGAGAGAGAGAGTGAGGTGGAGAGGAGTTTAGTGCTAAACTGTGTCAGTCTGCTCCCGCACACACACACACACACTCATGCACGAAAACTGACACAGAGAATGGCGATAGTATGAAAGAAATGCTCATACCCTCTATTGGGCACACCTCGCAAAATCCTCTCCACTCTCGCAAAAGAAAAATAGAAACGTGGGAGTGACAGGAAAAACGGGACCGCCGCTCCGGAGGGTGCTGTGACGTGGGCGAAGCTCCTCGTCTGTTTAAGATTGTGTAATCTAATGGCAGAGAGTACCCAAAGAGCTTTCAAGTATGGGGCATGTGTAGAAACATACATACACATGTATGATATAGTATGGTAATCATTGGTACGTACCCACCTCAACGCCGGTGAACTTATCAAAGTCATGCGTATGAAATTGCTGTGCAAAGCTACGGCTGGGCTGCACTGGGGTTTGAGCTTCTCTAGCTTGCTCGTTCCGTATCTGAGTCGGGCCATGAATGCCCTTGAGTTTGTCCTTTTTGAGCAGCGGTTAGCGGCAGAGGCTGGCGCAGACGCCGCCACTTACACAGTGGTAGCAGCGACAACAGCTGTTATACGCTGCGCATGTTAACTGGTTTCGCTTTGCCGCCTGGTATAACAGTTTATCGAGAGCAGGCAGAAGCAGTGGCAGCGGGAGAGAGATAAAGAGCGACAGCGACGGCGACGAGCGTAGGAGGCTCGTCACCGGCTCGCGCATATCTAACCCAGCTATGTACATATTTATGCATGTATGTAAGAGCTTGGAAGTATCCGGGTATGTGCCTGTGTAGGCTGCACGTGCTTCCATTGAATGCCACCATGACCCACCCACCACGTGAACCAGTGGCCAGTTCGAATGATGATGCAAGCTTCTGCCTCAGTTGCGTCCTATTCTATTATTAGAGGTCCTTTTTAGACGCATGCGCCTCTTCGACCAGCGTGTCCTCTCAAAAGGTTAATTTAAGGTGAAACCACATGGCAGTCTGTCGCCACAGGTTGCTGGCCAAACAACTGTACATACACCTTATATGTAAATAAAAGCAACGGGAGTTGTGGCTGCTGGTGGAATATGCTGGAATGCATAAAAAAAGACGGTTTCATTCACAGGCTGCCACTACGTTAAAATAATGACTAGAAAGTTTGATGAAATGCTGCCATACTGTTGAAAAAAGATCAACCATTTCAGTGAATATTCAAGAAAATACTTTTATGGTATTTTTTGTTCAGAACATTTGGCATTCTACTTTTAGATACGAAATTGCATGTATAAATTAAAAAGAATTCAATAAATGTATATTCTTTGTAAAGTTTTTCTGGTAGTTTTTCTGTAACGGACCGTTTAGCAGTGGGCACGTAGTCACTTATTGGAAAAATACCAAGCGTATTGCCAACCAGGGCTGCTACTGATAAAACACAATGCGCACAAGCAGGCCGAAGCTTCTCGTCGAAATCGAAATTCACATATAAGATTTAGCGGCTAATCTTGTGGAGAATTGAATGGTGATTAGGGTAAAATGCCAGTTTTAATGCTGAGTGTCTTAACCAGCCAATAATAATACAAATAAGATCCAAATCTAGGAATAAGACTTAAGACTACGGTATATTTACGGTATATTTTTAAAAGGAGAAGGTATATTTCGGTATATTTCTGAGGGTCTGTCGGTATAATTCCGCGGTCACACTGCAGAAGTTTCTCGTCGAAATCCAACTTATAAGATTTTTAAGTCAGAAAGAAAAAAAACGTAAACAGCAACAGTCACAGCAGTGAATTTTTCGTGATAAACATCTTATTAAATTTGAAAGCAAACAACACAACTAAAACAAACAAAATGGTTCGCCGTGGACGTTCAGCCAGCCCCCCACCATCCGCCAGACGGTAAGTTTGTGAAGTGACGAAAATATTGGACAAAGAAACGCAACAATGTGCAACAAATTGGCCAAGGGAAGAGGAAGTGGCATGACATTGGCATTGAGTAGAATTTAGTTTCATAACCAGAGCTGATTCTGATCTTCTTCTTATCGCTAGTCGGCTTCTGGAACTTCCCTTGGACCAAAATGGGCCAATGGGTTACGTAACCTAAAAAAAGGAAAGGCACAAAGAAAATGAGACGTTTCCGTGCAAAGTCCACACACAATGAAATTAATGAATGTTTTCTTTTTATATCCTAATAGCGCTGCTCCGGCACCCGCTCGTGCTGCCGCCCCAGTGCCGGCACGTGCTGCCGCCCCACCACCGCCACCAGCACCGATGGCTGCTCCCCCCAGCGCCGTCGGTATGCCGGCGCCCCAGCAGCCCTCAATGTTCCAGCAAATGGCCGCCACCGCCGGCGGTGTTGCAATTGGTTCCGCCATCGGCCACACCGTGGGCCACGGCCTCACATCCATGTTCAGCGGCTCTGGCGACAAGGAAGCAGCGGCCCCAGCACCGGCTGCAGCAGCTCCCCAGCAACAGCAGCAGCCGTACTACGCTCAGCCCAACGAACCTCAGGGCACCTGTGCCTGGGAGCTCAAACAGTTCATCCAGTGCGCTCAGGGCCAGTCGGATCTGACGCTGTGCGAGGGATTCAATGAGGCGCTGAGGCAGTGCAAGACTGCAAATCATATGCAGTAGAGAAGCTGGAAGACAATACAACAACAAAAACATGCTCGAGAGAACATCCTCGGTACATACACACACAACCGTCACAACCGTCACCTTCCAACATCGACAGACGGCGTACAATGTTGAGCTAAAGTTGTTTGTAAATTATTTTTTTTCCGTTAGTTTTAATTGTTTAACTCCCCAAAGGATAAAAATTGTTTAACCGTAGTGCGAAATATTGTTCAATAGAAAACCCCATTGGCAGCAGCCCCATCGCTGTCAACTAAAAAAAAAAATACAACAATTTTGTTTTTCTTTTTTTTCTCTTTTGGATTATGAATGCTGCACATTTTGCACTAAATTGTGAAATGGGTCAACAACAAAAACAAAATGTGACAATGTTCTTCTAAAAATAGATTAGTTTACTAATTTCTTCTATTTATTTCCCCGGTTCCTTGTCACGTTTTGTTGAAATTCTCGATTGTTTTGTTGGGGAGACTTGCAACGATAATGATAAACATGTTTACGTGGCAGCCAAGTGGAAAGTATTTATACATTATAAATAGAGTACCCGATTCGTAGTAAAGAATGCCTTCGGACCACACTTGCTGTTGTCTTCCAAGGTAATGTGTATGTGTACACTGTACACTCATGCACATGTATGTCCATATGTGCATGTAAGTGCAGCGATGTAAACTTTTATTACAGTTATTTGTACGATTTCATTTTTTGGCATGATTAACAAGTAAACCCGCGTCTGTACTTACAAGCTTTTGCACCAATTTGGGAGCCACTATTTTAATACATACATTGCATGCACTTGTATAATGGACGAACGTAAGGAACGTCCGATATACTAGACCAGCGATCGTGTCAAGGCCCTATTCGGTGCATGTAGGAAAGTTTTCTTCTGCTTCGCTGTCGCTCACGTATGTATGTGTGTATAACATGCATAGCAGTTGCAGGCACCAATGCAGTTTTCAGTCTTGCATGCTGTCCAAGAACAGTACTAAAAGCTTTCGATTCCCGAGCTACTTTAACGGCATTTACAAAAATATAAAGACTTACATATGTACATAGGCATGTACATACATCCAGTTTCGAATATTAATTTCTGTTTTATTTGTTTCTTAGTACATTTTTGGCACCGCCAAGACCTTCATTTGACTGCAATGATCTGGTACATTCCTTTATTTTGCTGCAGCGAAAACTATTGCTTGGAGCTGGTGTACTTGGTGACGGCCTTGGTTCCCTCACTGACGGCATGCTTGGCCAGCTCTCCCGGCAGCAGCAGGCGCACCGCCGTTTGGATTTCCCGACTCGTGATGGTGCTCTTCTTGTTGTAGTGACCCAAGCGCGATGCTTCGGAGGCAATGCGCTCGAAAATATCATTTACGAAGCTGTTCATGATGCTCATTGCCTTTGAGGAGACACCAGTGTCCGGGTGGACTTGCTTTAGCACCTTGTAGATGTAAATGGCATAGCTCTCCTTCCGCACCTTGCGCCTCTTCTTCCTGTCCGTGGTGTTGATGCTCTTCTGTGCTTTTCCAGCCTTCTTGCTAGAACTGCCAGTTGGAGTTTTAGGCGCCATTTTTTACCGACGAAAGTTTCACAAAATGAATAACAACAAAAAGTTCACTCAATAGACGTAACACGTTTGCCGTGAGAAGTGAATCCAATTCACTTATTCTTATACTTTTTTTTCGAGCAATCTATTCAGGTTTAATGCACACTCCCCTGTGACACTCCCTTTCCCCGTGGTCCATGGTTACTCCTGCCGTTCGTGAAAAGAGTGGGATAAATAATAACAAGAAGACGAAAATATGAATTGTTTTTCTTATGATAGTCCAAAAGTCGGTTTCAGCTGGTACAAACTGTGTCTAAATGTTCAAAATAAAAATAACTGTTAAATGAAATCCATAGATCTGAATATTCTGATCTCATAAATAAGGAAAGGAAAATATAAAACTGCAATTCTAATAATTCGATTGGCCACCAAAGCTGTTAAGGGTCAAAGACAATATAATCTATGTATAATAATGATACTAAAATTATCATTATCCATTTAATGGCAGGACAACGCTTCATATTTGCGTGTTCGGTGTCGATTCTGTCCTGCATATTATCAGGCAAATATTTTCTCCCCTTTACCAAGCCTTTGCCTTTGTCCCCTTTATCAAGATCAGTCCTCTCTCACTACGTGTGTATGCTTAAAGCTCACTTCAACGTACGAAAGTCACTGAGGAACTGATGCAGTGAAGTTAAGCTCTGCTTCTATTTATAGAAGAGATAAACACGAGTGCGTACAAAGAGTTTTCTACCCGTCTCGCTCGCAGCATAAGCACAGGGCCGAGCCAAACTCTCTCTCTCTCTCTCTCTCTGTCTCTCTGTCTCTCTCCACACTCCACATATTGCACATGCAATAAATAGATCAGAAAATGCACTGACCACTTATTGTGTGTTCAGAAGTTTACGTGTTATGTGTGCTGTGAAAATGACCCGCACTAAGGCGACTGCTCGATTCTCGAACTTCGGTGAGAGGACAAGCGAAAAACCCACCTACAGGGCCGCACGAAAAAGTGTGCCGCCCGACGTTCGATCATTTTGGGGTACAGTTAAACTTGTCTCAATTTAAGGTGCACTTCTAATGGTTTTCTGTGTGTTTCTGCAGCCGCACAATACGAAGCGCGCATGTCTGCGCCTCCGTCACCAAATGCTGCTTCAAAGCAGTCCGAAGTTCCAGCCAAACATCCACCAACCCAGGAAATGGTGGACGCTGCTATTAAAAACTTGAACGAACGTGGAGGCTCTTCATTTCTGGCGATTAAAAAGTATATTACAGCCGAATACAAATGCGATGCCCAGAAGCGGGCGCCATTTATTAAAAAGAACTTAAAGGCAGCCGTCGCCAATGGAAAGCTAATCCAAACAACAGGTACAGGTGCAATTGGTTCGTTCAAAATTGCCGGGTCTGTGGAGAAAAAAGAGAAAGGTAAGAAGCCGGCGGCGGCAGTCAAAGCCAGTGACAAGAAGCCAAATGCAAAAAAAATATCAGACGCTGCTAAGAACACCGCAAGGCGAGGTTGATGAAGATTGAGAAGACAAGGGAAAGCAACGTTCCAGTGGAGCCCCAGCCGCCTGCAAAGACAAACGGCACAGCTCCAAGCAACAACTGCAGCGCCCAGCGTCTGCCAAGCCAAAGAAGGCAGCGAAAAAGAGCTGCCTGCGCTCGCCAATGTAAAGGAGAAGAGAAGCCAAAAGCAAAGACGACCAGACCGAAACTGTGAACGATACGTGGCCGTGGACACAATATTAGATGCGTAGTGCATCTGCAATTGACTTAAGTCCTTTTAAGGGCTACTAAACTTTAGCATAAGAGATGCAAATTATTTAACAAATGTACAAAAACCATACAAAAATATAAATAAATACAACAATTCTTACCCACAATGGGTATTGAACTCGGGCCTACCGGCTGGAGGCCAGTTAGGAATTGACGCCGAGATTTGCTGCTTAGCTGCGTTGAAAGCTCTGATTAAGCTCCGCTTTCATCGCGTGTGTGCGTAAGCCTTTAAAATTAAAAAAAAATTACTTGTCACTCTTTCAGCAAGCAAACACAACACACACGTGGCTGTAGATTACTATAAATTTATTCATTCACTGAGAGTACGGGCATTACTGTTTGGCTGCTGGTTGCTTTCCTATGACCATTGAGATCTTCACTGGATGAGCCTGTTTTCCGCAGTGGAGCAGACTTTTGTTCGAGCTCTCAACACTGCAGCTACCGTCACTGAAGCTGTCCTTGTTGTGGGTTTGCTCTCCGGAGAGTTAACCAAGCATCGATCTCAATTCATCGATCTCATATTGAAGCTATTTTAAAAGTTGTAATTCGAATTATGTACCTCTGACACCAACTTTCGCTTCAAGCGTGGTGGGAACAGACAACTTCAGTGAGAGTAGCTACAGTATGGCAAGGGAAGGTCTTATAATAATCTGCAAAACACAATGAAAAACCATTTATGGTATAAACAATGTCTTGAATAAATCTTTAATTGATCCTGCACATAGATTGAACACGTCATAGAATTGCTGGACACACTGGATTGACGTATATTGAAGTGTTGTGGAGGTTTTCGGCTTTTTCATCAATCGCAGCGCACGTCGTACGACTTGCAGCGCCCGCGATCTGATTTCAGCGTGAAGTACAGTACCAAGCATAAGGACAAAACAACAACGAAGACAACCAGCCAGTAGACAATGCGCCAGAATGGCCAATAGTGAACCTTTGGCTCAGGTGTCTGCACAGTAACGCCGCTATGCTGCGTGTCGCGTCTGTGTCTCAGTCTGTTGCTCATTTTGTTTACGTTTCCAAAATTCTATTTTCCAGCTAGATTTAGCTTCGAGCTGCTGTAGTTGATTAGCTGCTAAGCGCCAACTCGGTTCGTTTTGTTTGATTCTTTTCTTTGTTAATTATTAATTTCCTACCTACAAAACACAATTAAAAATTCCTCTTGTCAACCAATAAAAGCGTTTGGGGCTTTGGGCTTTACTTGCGCCTGTCAGCCTCAGCTACCATGGAACGGCGACGACGCTTGGCACAGTTCTCCTCGTTCTCCGTTGACTCGCTGCTGCTCGGCTGTGCCGCCTGACTGCGCGTCACATTGAGCTCCATCAGGGTGCGACGCTGCTCATTCCGCTTCTCACATTTGTGCAGAATGCGCTCCGCATTGCTGACTATCTCGTCAAAGTCGAGCTGCTCTGTCTGCGGTGGGAAGGACTCTGCCGCGGGGACTGGTGGCTCGGTCGGAGCTGGTTCGGGTGGCTGAAAATCGTAATACCACGATGACTGGAAGTAGCTCTTCATGGTGCGGGATCTGTAGACAATGGCTTTGGGCAGCTGCAGCTGCTCGTTGCGCAGCACAAACTGCAGCCGTTCCACGGCCAGCAGCTGCGTCAGGCCGAGATAGTCCGACTCGTGTTCGAGGCAGTGGATGGCCTGCAGGCAGATGGACTCTATCAGATCCTCCTGCTGGCTGAGCTGCACATATTCCAACAGCCACTGGCAAAAGTCCTCCTGCTTATCGTGGGGCAACCCAGGCATTTGCGGCATTGGCGGCAGCTTGGCCAGCTCCAGCAGCTGGTAGATGGGATAACGTTGCTCCGGTTGCTCCCATCCGGGCATAAAGTACTCCAGACAATTGCCTGGCAGCAGCTCTTGTGCCTGCAGGGGCTCCACGAACGGACGCAGGTCCTGGGGAAACTGCAGACAGTGCTGCAGATCCTCAACGACCACCAGCTGCAGGCGACGCACTGCCTCGTTGTACAGTTCAACGCAGAATTGCGGCGATGCGCGGCTCTTGCGGCATATGGTCTGATCCTCGTTTGCCGCATGCTTCAGGCGCCGAAACAGTTCGGGGCCCAGATTGTCAACGAGAAAGCCGCGCACCTCCGCCTGCCTGAGACATCCGTCGCGGCAGCGCTGCGGCTGCTGCGCCAGAAACTTGAGGGCCGACTGCAGCACCGACATCAGCTGAGTGCGCGGCCACGATGACTCTGTGCGCAGCCAGAAGATCTTGTAGGCCTGCAGGCCCAGCTGATTGAGCAGCAGCTTCCGCCACATTGGCCCCTCGTGTGCCGCCTCATGCGGCGGATGCTGCAGTATCAGCGCCACATGGATGCAACGACTCGCCTGGATGATGGTCCGCAGACGCTGGCAAATCTCCGACATATCCGCGTTGCTGGCGAAGCAAACGATGCCATCGGCATGGGCCCAGTGGGTAGGATCTTGGCCAGCGCGAGTCTTCAGCACACTGAGGGCCAGGCCATGGGCCACGCCACGTATATAGCTCTGGCCCGACTCGGGCTCCGCCTCTGCCTCACTCTCCGTTGCGTCTGTTGGCGGCCGCTGCAGCAGCTCGCGGTCCAGGCTGTACTCAAGCTTGAGTCCCGGGTCGCCCTCGGGCAGCGAGAGCAGCAGCTTGTAGAAGCGCCGCGCACCCGGCTGACCCTGCGGCAGATACTGGCCCAGCAGCTTCCAGAGATCCAGCTTCAGCGCGCAGCCACGATCCCCCATGCCGGTCAGCAGCTGAATGTAGTTGCACGCCTCGCCCTGCCGATAGCGACGTATGAGACGCAGCGAGTCATCCACTCTACGCTCGTTCAGCAGTCGCTCGGGATGCTCGGCGCCAAAGCTGAGCGGCAGCTGATTGAACAGCGTGTCCTTCTGCTGCTGCACGCGACGGAAGTCGCGCCAGCGGCGCCAGTAGATGCGCATCAGACTGAACTCGTAGATGGCCTTCTGGTGCTCGCGCTCCACCAGCTCAGCCGTGAGGCTGTCCACAAGCTGATCAAACAGCTGGCGTGCTCGCTGCTCCAGCTGCAGCTGATGGGCGCACACATTGTGCAGCGTCTCCTCGAACAGTTGCTCGTACAGGCGGATGGACTGTGCCTGCAGTCGCTGCTGGCGCTTATGCTGCTGCTCGCGTCGCCATCTGTTCTGCTGGTCGAGCGTCTCCTGCATTTCGCGCTCCATCTGCCGCCTGCGCTGCTCATCCGCCTCCTGTTCGTGCCGCAGACGCTGCAACTTTTCCTCCTGCTCCACGCGCAAGCGCTCCGCTTCGGCAGCCTTGACTGCCATCAGTTCGGCCTCGCGCTGCTTGGCCGCAGCTATGGCCTGCTGCAGCGCCACCATTCTGGCCTCCTCCTGTGCCCGCTGCGCCTGCTGCTGGCGCTGTTGCTCCGCCAGTGCCACAGCCGCTGCCTCCTGCATTTCGTGCATCTCCTGTGCCCGCGATTTGGGCAGCGAAAAGCTGAAGCCACCCGCCGAAGCCACAGCCGTGGCCGGCTGCATGGGCACCTTGAACAGATTGTCGCGCTGCAGCGGCACTGGCAGTTGCAGTGGCTCCTCCTCGGGCTCCTGATTGGGCATCTGATCCTTGGCCGACCAGGCGCTACGCTTCAGCATGTGCTGCGCATTGAAGCTGTTGTGCGGACGATGGCTGACGTAGAGGCTCTTGGGCGGCAATGGCTCCCCGCAGATGCACTCCCCCACGCTCTGATAACGCTTCGATTCCACCAACTAAAGCAAAAGCAAACGAATTAAAGAGCTGTGACGTTGCTCCTCAGACGTTAACTCACCTCCAGTTGCCGCTCGAGCTTGTATTCCACCTCGGGATTGTAAATTCTGGTGAGGGAAACGCGTTCGTCCTGGTTGATCTCCAGCCCATAATGTTGGACAAAGTTGGCGGCCTCCTGCTGGCTCTCGCAGGCCAGCATCTGGGCCACATAGGCGAGGGGCAGCGAGGAGACTTCGTTCTTGCGCGGCGCCCGATAGCCCTGAATGAGGCGATGCAGCGCCAGCACCCGCAATCGGGTGAAATAACGCACCAGAATGCAGGCACTGAGATAACTGGTCTCCGGATCGCGCAGCAGCTGAAAGAAGCGCACGAAATTGGTGTCCTGCAGCGAGAAGTAGAACTTGATGGCTCTGCGTATCTCCGGGCAGGTCTGTAGCTCGTCGGGCAGCTGGCCCACGTCCCACAGGAAGTTGGCATCGGCCAGATTCAGCAGCACAATGTAGCCCCGAAACTCCGCCTCCCGGGGGCACTGCACGCCCTTGAGGCGCAGATCATGGTACATGTACTTGAGCGTCTGCAGACATTTCGTGAGATTATCCGCATTGATTTTGCTGTCGAAGACGCTCGGATCCTCGGCCACCAGACGACCGGCACAATGGATGTGAAAGCGGGCGCACTGCTCCACCAGCTTGACGGCGCCCAGGGAGCAGAGCTCCTGCTGTGTTATCTCCTTGCGTATGGAGCGTGTGCGATCCCACACAAAGTGGAACCAATCGCCCAGCGGCTCACGATCAATGTCCATTATCTCGTGCATCAGGTAGCTCATGGTCATGTGCAGGGCGGGCTCGCCGCGCAATTCGTGCGGCAGTGGTGTCTCCTGGTCGGCACTGCTGCGCGAATATTGCTTGAGGGCCAGCTCGTGGGAGATCAGGCCGCCGGGCTGGCGCGACAGCGAGTCGGGCTGCAGCTCGAAGACGGACACCTGGCGCTGGAATTCGCGCAGCAGGCGCTCCTTCTCCGGACACATGTCCGGGCAGTAGCCCTGCGTGCTGCCCGATCGCTGCAGATCGAGCTGCCGATTTGACTGCTGGTTCAGGCGCAGCAGCTTGTCCCGTGCATCGAGCACGCGGTACTTTTCCTCGCTGGTGTGTGCCGGACGACACATGATAGCCTCCAGCTCCTGTGCATAGGCTTTGGAGTGTGCGGGCGGCAGCGGCTGCGGCTGCGGCGGCGGCGGTGGCCGCTCTCTACGTTCGCTGTGCTGGGATCTGGAGCCTGGATGTTCGGTGGCAGCAGATTTGCTCTGCTTTGTCGGCTGGTACTCGTTCGGCCAGCCGCCGCTTAGGGCATTCAGCTCGGCCTGCACTTCGGGATCCACCCACTGCTCGGTCTTTTGTGCCGGAGCCGTCTCATTCTCGGCATAGGTCATGTGAAACTCGTGGCCATTGTAGACGTTGCCCTCGTGCAGCGCCAGCTCAGCCTCCTCCTCGGTGGCGTAGCTCACGGTGCAGGTCATGCGACGCGGACGGAGCACAAAGTTTACCAAATTCCCGAAGCGCCCGAAATGTGTGCGCGCCACGAATTTGTCCAGGAATAATTCTGGTATATTGGTGCATCTGTGGGATAAATCAGCTTATCGGTTTGTTCTATCAAATGCCGCATGCAGAGGGACTTACAGCAGCGTTTTGTAGTTGTAGGCGCCTGGGCGAGTATCTTCCATGGGACTCTTTGTGTTTTTATTACAATTTTCACATTCACCCAGAAAACGCCGGGCAATAGCGATGACAGTTTTATATTCGCGGCAATTGTTTCACTACCTTCTGGCGTACCTATTACAAGAGTTTAATCAAATTATTTGGCCGCCCGCCTTTACAAGGTGGAAATCGCCACGTCAAGATATGTAATATGTTACAGTTTCACTCCAATTCTGTCGATGAACTCGATTAATGTTTGGTACGAGCTAATTTGTTTGTTCTTTTTCGAAGAATTGAAATATTATTATATTTCCTTAGCGATGGGTAGTTTTGCTGTGTTGTCATCGATAGTATCGCAAGTATCACAAATGTTACTTGCGACTACGTGCATTTTGGCAAGTGTGTGCCTATCAAATGCACTGCCACTAAGCAGTCTTTTAGTGTCAATATCTTTTAGCTTAATTCCTCTCTAGACTCTCTAGACGCCTGCTCAGGAAGCAGGCAATCCAATGTTCCTCCTGAAGGCGTAGGATCTGACCGGCAAAAGCTCATGCCTTGTAATATGTTCGTCCAGCTTTAACTTTATCAACCCCTCTATAGACTTAAACTTGCTTAAAGATGCTTATTAGGCAAATAGGCGTGTAGTTTTGGAAGGAAGCGGGGTCCGCATTCTTCTTGGGAATAGGTACCACCTTGATTCTACGCCAGACCTCTGGGACCTACGCCACTGAGCCATACCCTGTTAATAATTTCAAAGATGTTATGTTTTTTCCCCACAGGAAGTTGCTGCAGCATCCTGAACGATATGCCATGTGGGCCTCTCGCCGAATTTGGGTTCCTGGATTTCAGGAAGGACAGAAATTCCCCCATGTCCAAAGTTTCAGGGTCGGCTGGTCCAATCAGAGGTGAAATGTTCAAAATTTGCATTTAAATTTCTATTACATTTAAACTTATAAACTTAATACATTCCAAGAAAAGCAAGTAATGAATGCTAGAAAATCTTATTGATATTTATTTGAATTGTAACCGATTAAATTAGTATTTTTAAAACAGTTAGTACTAGTGGTATATTTGTAGATGTAAATGAAAAAGGTAATAAAGAGATGAGTTATGAGGAAACCTCGTATTGAAAACATCATTCTTATGCAGAATTAATTTTTCAATCGGATTAAATTATTTTTTTCAGTGTTAAAGGTCTTTGAAAGCTAGTAAAATCAAATAGAACATTAAAGTCGAGGAATATGATTTAAGCCTACCTTATATTTTGAAAATGAGAAGGTATATTTTGATATATACTTTATCGATAGTTCCGCTGGAAACTCGGGCTGGGAAAACATCGATAGTGGCCACCATCGATGGTGGAAATAGTATAGGTATCCTAGATTACCCTAGTAAAAGTAGCTATAGTTGAATATGGAAATAGTTCCTCATCTGTATTATTAACGCAGTATTAACGGCAGTGAAGATATTTAATATAAAGAGATACAGTAAAACTGTAATTCTCTGTAATAGTCAGGGCACCCTAATCAGAAAAGTTAAATTAAAAGTTCAGACGGATTGGAAAAATGAGTAAAAGGAAATATCAGAAACCAAAGCTATTTTTTTTTGCTTCAACTTATAATGAAATTCCTGTCAAACCATGGCACTGGGCTCTCGACTCGATTGAAAAAAACGTAAAGGTCATAAATAAATTAACAGAACCTATGAAAACGTTTTTTTGAACAAAATCAAAGCCAGATACACCAACAACAACACGACCACACTTTTAAACCATACCTCATATTAAGAACATTTCCAATGCAACACCTTGCATGCCCTCATCAACAACCATCGATAGCAACAAATATCGACAGAAACACCGAACATACGCTTGTCAAGAAAATATCGACAGCCCCATCATCGAACTGAAGTACCTGGTCAATGCGGATTAATCGTCGATTATTACAAAAAAACAATTCTCGCGCGATGTTTAACTGGCAGCGGCTCGTCAATTTTTGTTAGTTTTTTTTTTAAGTTTAAATAATACGTTAAGAAGGCAATAAGTGTGGAGCCAGCCCACTACGAAAAACAACGACAGCAACCGCAACGCTGACACGACAATGATCGAGCCGAATCTATGCGCCAAATCTTGGTAGCAGTTTGTGGCCAAAATACAACTAAAAGCCACGGCTAAAACAGCACAAAGGAGAACTGCAGCTCTGGCTGGGGGCCGCGGCAATCGACTAAAAAAGCAAATTATTGCAGAAATATACGTATATTTGTGTATACAGTAGTTGTTTTTTTTTTGTTGGTGTGACGCGCGTTTTGTTACGACGTTTCCGATGATCTTGGCCCGTTGTTGTTTGCCTTTCGTGTTGTTGTAACTCGTTTTGTGCGCGCGTGTGATTCATGCAACCCACAGAAACAGCAGCAACAACAACAGCGACAAAACAGTGAAATATGCTAAGTAAATGAATGGCAAGGCAAAGAGAGTCGTAGAAGCCACAAAATACTTCTTTGACGCGTGCATCCTTCAATTGAGAGCGCAAGGTAAAGCCATACACAAACACACAAACACACCACGATCGCACTCAGTGAGAGAGAGCGAGAAAGATATACGCAGAGAGAATAGAGGTGTGTTGTAGTTGTACAGCTGTCAAGTGCGGCGAAGTAGCGGCAGCGACGTCCAAGTCCTTTTTGGTTCGACTAGCAGGCCATCTCGCTCGCACGCTAGATCACTCTTCTCCTGTGCTGCAGCTGCCTCTCTAACAACCAAAAACCGAAAAACCACGAACCCGAAGCAGAGATAGGATGCCAACAACAAACTGCAGTAGCGGCAGCGGGCAGACAAGCATAAAGAAGAGGGAGCATTCCATTGGAAAGAAACGCGTGCATTATTATTAATATAATTAATAATTACTAAAACAACAACGAAATACATGTGCGTTCGTGTGAGTGAAATAGAAAGTGCATTAATAGCAAGAGCAGCACCAACAACAACAAAACTGTAAAGTGTAAAAATACCAATACTAAAGCAATACAAACGAAATGAAGGTTACCGTTTGCTTCGGCGATGTGCGCATTCTGGTGCCCTGCGGCCACGGAGAACTTCTCGTCAGCGAACTGGTAAAGGAGGCAACGCGGCGCTACATCAAGGCAGCCGGAAAGGTAAGAAGGCCCCCACCACCATTACCACCCCCTCCATTGCTCGTCAGCGGAAACGCTGCACTTGAGAAGGAGAGTAATTACATAAAAATATAACTAAAGGGAAGCCCGAATCGAAAGACCCGAAAGACACACACAAAAAAGGTTCTTCTTTAGAATGAAGGGGAGCCAGCCCCTCGGTCGGCGCTCTGCGGTGAGACAGAGACAAGAAACAAAGATGAGAGGGCAACAAACAGTAAGAGTGACAGAAGAAGAAGACGGTCCATGACGGTGTGTGTGTGTGTGTGTGTGTGTGTAGGTAAAATATTTGAATAATGATAAGACAGTGAGCAAGAGAGGGAGCGGGAGAAGATTGGAGGTAGAGTGAGTGAGCCATAAAAACAAACACCGAAAAAAGAGGAATTTGGAAGAGATGATAACAACAACAAACAAATCGAAAAGAAAGAAAGAGACGAAGAAAAGAAGATCCAAAATAAGCATGAGAATTATAATAATGTAAGAGAAAAAGGCAAGCAGCAATCTAAAGAACATTTTTGATATCTCTCTGAACCCATTTGAACCCCGCGTTACAGCCACAGTAACACTGGAGAGGTAGGTGTGTGGGAGAGAGGGAAAAAATAGAGCGCAGCGACAGGTAACCCGAAACAGCGTGTGGGAAAGGCTGGGGGCTTGGGGTGTGTAGATGAGATGCACTGCTGCTCTATGGTGCATGGGGCAGATCTGTAGATGTGGGAACCCTAATTAATGGGAAATTTGTCTGTGTTGGTGGGGTTTCGGTTCGGAGATCCTACGAGTAATATAATTAATCAAAAAAGGTTTTGCTTTTTCAGGGAACTCGAAATTTGAAATCAATTTTCGAATGGGGCGTGGTGGGAGAGCGCCCAGGGGATGCGATGCGATCTCTTATAATGATTTTGAGCTGTAGCTTTTCCCTTTTGATTAAGTCATTATGTGGCTGGGCTGGGATACTCATGTGCTCGCTCCAGTAGGGCTCCATTTCCGGTGCAACCTGTGTGAATTTTTGTCCATGCGGTTCGGCTTGCATCCATTGTCTGATTGTCGGATTGTCTGATTGTCGGATTGTCTGGCCGCAAAAGACGTGAAACTGTGTCAGCTGTAAAAAAATGCAGCGAAAATAAACTAAAGAAGACGCAAGAGATGAGACTGAGAGACGCTTTCCATTTCGTGATCACGTGTACGGCAGCAACGGAACCCCGAAGCCCGGACAATTCCAGACCAAAACAAAAAACGCCAAAATTCAAACACACACAAAGCAACCAACAAAATATCTACAAATATCTCCCTTACTGGCCGTACCCAAGCGTTTTATTCGCAAACTCAACAAAAATCAAATGTCTCTTCCAGCTTTTTGCATTTTGGAATTCTTCCCACCCGATCTCTTTCCCGTACATAAAAGATTTTATTATTATTATAGTATTTCTACAATTCCTCTTTCGCTGCCGTTTTGTTGCAGCTGCTGTGCTATATTTTCGGTTTTCATTTTTATTTGTTTCCCATTCGTCATGGTTTTTGTGGGGTTTTTTTTATTCCTTTGTTTTTGGTTTTTCTTATCTTTTGTTTCGAGCATGTGCCCCAGAGCACCGCGGAAGAAACAGATTGAAACCAATTTGCAATTGCATATTCCAGCTACGCGATACTACCAAGTATAGAGTTCTCAACAGCATTGAAAAATATGCTGTACGATTATATTTGGCTCCATTTCCAGCTGCTGTTGCTGTAGCTGCTGCTGCTGCCAGTGCCAAGTGCAGTCGTGGGATGTATCTGGCTGGCATCTTGTGGGGGTTCCATTTTGTACCCAGCATCTGTGGAATGCAAAGAGAGCTCTGGAAACTTTGGATATTTGAGATATAACATCCGAATTTTGAATGTTGCATTGCGGTCGATTTTATTAAGGAATTATTAGTGCACTCCAAAACGGGTTTCGAGGATTTAGGATTTTAAATTAAATTATTTATCTATGATTACCCCCTGATGTTCGCTGATTCATCTCCGATCTGTCCCTTCCCAGAGTTCCTTTGTTTGAGCGCAGCTTCAGTGGGCGTTTCGATGTTTCTTATCAAAAAAATTAAATATAAAAAACAGAAAACAAAAGCGGGACAGGGGGACTGGTAGAAACTGTCCTCCTCTTGCCGTCTCTTCATGCAATTTGCTCATTTGCTTACATACTGCGACTGGGGGGGAAATCTTAGCCGACTTAACACATACCCTTTAAGCTTAAGCAAAGGTGAAAATAAAGGCGAAAATCCGCATGCCTCCGTGTGACCAAAAAGGGTACAGAAAAAAGCAAAGCTTAACGACAAACGACAACGACAACAGAAACAGCAACAAAAAATTCATTGAGCATTTTTCTTGTCGCTGTTTCTGTTTCTGTGTGGGGCTGCCCGCTGAAATTCTTGGCATTAAGTGGCAACAGCCAGCAGCAGCAGCAGCAGCAAAAACCAGTTTCTGAACAATTTGTAAATTTTTGTTTTTGTTGTAGTCATAACAAGAAATATCCACCAGCAATGCTCTCTCTCTCTCTCTCTCTCGCTCTCTCTCGCTGTCTCTGTCTGTTTCATAGATGTATTTTTTGCACTTAATATTTCGTAGATTTTTCTACTCTCACGTCCACGGTTAATTGTTAGTGTATTTTGAGTGCGCTCTAATTGGTTTAAGCCAATAATTAGAATGAAAATATGGTAGCAGCTAGCACCTACAGCACGGCACCTCCTCCTCCGTCTCCTCCCATTCCCCACTGTTGGTGGAATGTGGAACGACAATAAGTAAAGCGCTGACGGGGGGAGGGAGCAGCGTGGTAAATAATCAATAAATCCAAGCAGCAAACACCTTGAGAAGTTTCTTTCTTTTTATGGGCAATGGAATTTCGCTTGGAATTTCGCTTGTGATTTTTGTTGTTGCTGGAGGAAGGAGAACGTTACATTTTTCGGGCAACTGAATCGATTTTATTTTACTTGAAAACTGAGAATAAATTACCAAAATAATCTAAGAAGGAAATAGCCACTGGTTCAGCCTTCGCCTTCATTTATCATCTACTTTTCTTCATGTTAAATATTATTGAAAAGGGAAAAGCCAAAATCCATGGACAAATGAAAGCCAATTATGGTGGCACACAAGAGACACTGACCACCAAGAACGAGTGGAAGAAGAGCCACCGAACCATGGAAGATATTTTACGACCTGCCTCACACACACTTCCCTTCCATATCGTATTCTATTCTTTCTGCTGCTATCTAATCTCTCCCCTCCCCCCCCCACTCTCTCTCTCTCTTTCTTCTTTCTTTGTCTCTGGTGGAAAGAGAAACAAAAATCAATTGAGTTTCAATGCTTTTCGCTTCACTAAAAACTAAAGTACAGTGCAGAGCCATGGATATAAAACTAATTGAATTCCGACATATTTCTTATGCAGGTCATGCAAGTACTTTAAAGCCACGAAATGGGTTGCGAATGCCAAGGAAATGCATGCAATTCTCTACTATTATTATTAATAATTAAAACAATTATTCCACCAATAATGCTCCATTTATAAAACGAAAACAAAAAAAATGAATCTGCTTTTCAAGTGTCGCTTCACAATGCCGCTGACACGCATCGGTCAGGGGGCCCCTACTCCTCCTCCCTTTGGCTACCCAGAGCCAGGTAGCACTGTACTACAGAACTCTGTGCACTGCTGGCCGGGCCCGCGTGCGAGTGTGTGTGTGCGAGGGTTGACTGCAGCCCATACGCGTCGTACTCGTAATAATAGTTTCTGTTGCTGTTTTGTCGGTTGTCATGGCAGCAACCTGAATATGTACATGTAATGTCTGGCCTAGCACAAATATCAGTTGACTGCTTCATGTTTTTCTACTAGTATTTATAGAGACATATATACAGATATGTATGTACATATGTGTAGCCACTAGATAATATTATTCTTATTATTATTGCATTGCATTGTGGGCTTTGCTGATTCATCGTATGGCTTTCTGCCTGTGTCTCTCTCTCTCTCTCTCGCTCTATCTCTCTCTGTGTGGCAATCGAGATACCAAATTAGGAGCGAGAAATTCAATTGAATTACGAGCGTACTCTGATGTTTTTTGTTTGTTTCAGTTTTATATTTAACCTTCTCTCCATTCTCCCGTACTTTTGTGTGTTCTGCTGGTAATTGAAAATAATTTCCACAGCGACACCCACTCGCAATCATCACAATAATAATATTCGAAGAGACGCCCACAGCCAATCTATCGATTAGTGGTAAAAAATGAAGCAAAATGAAATCCAGATGAATTGTAAACTTCTAGCAATAAATAAAATACATTTCAGAGAGGTTTTAAGGGCAAGACCCATTTCAGAACTCTGAAACTTTGAGCGACTCCTTAAGTATGTTTGAATACTCGTTAAAAATGGATGAGAAATATTCATCGATCCTTACCAGCTTTGATAAATTGTTGCAGTGCTTATAGGCTGCACTTGATCCTCTTTTCCCACTACTCCACCGCTCCCTACGATCTCTACGCTGTCCATTATCCATTTCCTTTTTGTTGTCGTGTCGTTTGGTCTCTTCTTTTGTGGAATGCAAGGCATTAAAGCAGAAGGAGAAGCAGACAAAGGATGAAGATGGAATTGGGCTATTATACAAAAATGTATTTGACTTCCATTTGTTGTCCATTTTCCTAGCACGATTGCACGATTTTTGTGGGAATTGAATTGGAAATGGGATGGCAACGACAGACATGCATAGATTGCTGCTGTTTATGTTCTGTCTGTTGCAGGAGCTGAGGCCACCGCATGCATATGCATATGCATATTGTTCCCTTCTAGAATTACAAAACGTTTTATTGCCACACTAATTGAGTATCTATTTTCGGTCACGCACGCACGTGTGTCTGCTTGTCTATCTATCCCTTACCGCTCCCATTGTCGTTCTTCTTCTCCACATACCCTATACAGGAATATCTGTAATTCTGCCAATGTTATTTTGTATACCCAGTCTTCGAAGTGTTTGA